AGGATAGGGCTGTTTCAAGAACTGAATCTATAACAAAGTTAAATAGAAATGGAGAGAGAGAGAGAGAGGGTAACCCTGTCGAACACCACTTTCTGTAGTGAACTCGGATGAAAAGGTGTCGGTTTCGGCTATTATTGTAGAGGGATTGTAATACTGAAATAAACTTCTCGGGCTTCGGCCACTGCGTCTTCCTCGAGGGACATGTTATGTGCAACTTGAACAGTGCTACAATGTTAACCGACAAAATAAACGTGCAAACACAGAACGATGACAAACTTACGCGGGATATTGTATGCAAGTCGGTGGACATGAGTTTTGCAAGTGTTTGGACTGGTCGTAACACGATCAGTCGAACACCATAGATGGAGCACAAATGTGCGACATGGTGCCCCAGTTGCGATTTCAACCAACCGGAGTCTAACAGTACGCAACAAATCTGCGGGTCTGGTTGATCGGTGGCTCTCTGTACCGAACCGCTCAGGTTTTCCAACAATCTGAGCACGGAATTTGCACCGATGTGGACAAATGACCTGAGAGTGATAGATAGAAAAAGAACAACAGCATTGGCTACGGAACTGCCCGGAGGGCGGATATGACATTCACAAACCTGGTGATATATACGTTTTCAATAATTATTAGTAATAAAAACGTTAATGCTTATCGGGTGTGTTGTGCCAAATGAATAGCCTCAAATCGTAGGTGCTCCACTCCAACAATCCAAAAGAAGAAAGTGCGTAAGCAACTTCCGGAGTGACAAATGGGATAGTTGCCATCCTAGTTATGCATCTGATTGGTCGTTGTCGGTTTACCATACACAGTGGTTTCAGGTTTTCGTACGATAACGTATCAGTTTCATTCCCGCGTGCGAATTTTAGTCCTGGCACAAATCGGTTTAGGTGATTGGGGAACTGATAGATAAATGCATATATGAAACCTTTATAGTGCCATCAAAAGCAAGAATCGAAACAAAAACAAGTTTAGTGTGTCTCGCAGACAAAAACGCAGAATACAACTGATCAGATGTACACTGATAAAACATACTACTAAGACTACTACTACTGATAGTTGGCCTCGTGTTTACTTTAGCCGAGACAAACCAGAAACTAGATGGAAGTTAACAACTAGTCTTTTGGTTACTAAGTTTTGCATTATTTTTTGAACGACCCTTGCAACAACGAAGAGCGTTCGCTCTACAAAAAACAGGGGAGAAGCACTGAGCGTGAAATTGCCGGAACGAAAATCATTACTAATAATAAAATTTACACAGATCATTTACGCGAAATAGAATTCACCATTCGGTAGTTTCTCTCATGTCGATGGCCGAATCTTCTATAGGACAAAAACCTGACTAATTGTCCTTCCGACAGGTCAATTTGATAAGCCATACGACGCCTACGTCTTTGTGTTGCTTCAGCCGATGATCAACCATTTAGTCAGGATTGATCACTATGAAAAAGTGAGTGGAACAAATGCGGCGACACTCTTGATGTGGTGTGATGGCTAACGTGCCTTAATGACCCTGAGAGCTACACAGGATGGCCGTAGATCCAATCATGCCTAAAAGGTCAACGGGTAGAGGCCAGACAAAGCTCAGTCTCACAAAGCCAGCTGCTCGGGCACCTCCTTGCTTCTTCCCTTCTATCCACACCCGCCCCTGGAGAGGCCACACCAGCAAATAAACATGGTGAGGAGCAGTTTACCGGTCAAAAATCCCCCGCTAGATGGACGTAGGAGCGGGGTACCTGGGGCTT